AAATTTGAGAAAGATCCCTCTGGTACTTCTTGAGAAATAGCGATAACAAACTTTCAATATCAAAATCCAAGATGGCTGCCTGTCGGCCATGTTGTTTATCCGATCAGTCTCAAAAGTTGCCCTGCACAGCTAAGGACCAAGGGGAACCTGCATATAAAGTTCGAGAAAGATCCCTCTGGTCCTTCTTGAGAAATACCGATAACAAGAATTGTTTAAGGACGGACGACGGACAACGGACGGACTACGGACGCAGGGCGATTTGAATAGCCCACCATCAGATGATGGAGGGCTAATAAAACATAAGCTCTAATGAGACTTAAGACCGACATAACAATTAGGGGACACCGGGGCAAGTTTGGCCAATTTTTATTAAAGTCCACTCTAGGACGTATGGCAGCACGTCCGTTTTTGAACATTATCAAACTTTTTCTGTCGGAAGATCAGATGGCTGAACGACCCCCCGCTATGGAGTAAGTTCGGACAGGCATTTGGGTAAGTTCAGCCCCCATTGCAATCAGCTTAAATATGGCATCATAAAGCATGCAACGTCAGATTTTACATTAAAGTTTTCCTCACCATTTTTTTCATGTGAATGCCGGATACTCTGGCTTTCTTCCCACATTAAGAATTACATCCTCTGCGTGCTTTAGTCAGGGCACAAAGGAATGATTGAGATAGGTTGGGAAAAAACTATTTGGTAATTGCTTTAGAAAAAAGTGCATATTACATATTTGACGATAAGTCTAAGTAAATATATAGAGATGTTAGTTATAGAATTAAAGGAAACCATTGTAATACTTTGATGTAACTGAAATTGTTGTTATATCAATATGTAGTCTCAATTTCTGTTTCATCCTGAAACACTAGATTGAATTTCACATTTTGTTACTGTCACTGAGGTTTGACAGGTTAAAAAGGCAAAATAAGATTAAACAGTTTTTGTCTGTAACTAGTTATAAATCGGCACACGTTATGAAAAGGGAATACGTTGCTGAAAAAGGGCATTGAACTTTGGTTGGTTGTCTGGAAAATTATTGTTGATTTCGACATAAATGCAATATCCATTGTTTCTTTTATGAATGGTGGTGATGCATAAATAAATTATGTAAAGACTATAGCCAGACTTTCACAAAAAGTTAATGATTTCGTTCATATTCTCAACAAATGGAAACCAGAAGCTGATGAAATTTTGGACGATGAAAACATAATAACGGCTCTTTTTGAAGATATCTCCCGGTAGAAATATGAACAGAACCTGGTTGATGACAAAAAGTATCTTCAGAAAATATCTGCATTTTACTCTTTCTGCCTTTGGCAAAAACAGAAATTAAAAAAGTTGTGAAGCACCGACATGTATGTGTAGAAACACAATTGTCTTTGCTTCAAGGATACACTTCCGGTTTCCCCACTGGACGTCTACTTCCATACGAAAAAAAATAGGGGCAATGTGTAGCAAGGGGAAGCAACTCTTTTTACGCACGCATGTGTTACCATTAAAGAGCTAAAACACTCAGGTGCTCTTAAAATGGCAGGATCGAAATACTAATTGCAATACACAACTTCAGAGTGTGGCGATTACAATTCGGATGAAAACTGTAAAAGCTGTCCCCGGCAAAAAATTGTGTCTACAGACAGAAGGACAGACGAACAGAAAACCCGATTCCAGTAAGACAACCTCCAATCTAACCTCTTTAATGTGGGGGGGTTAACTAATTCCAATCTAACCTCTTTGTTGTGGGGGGGTTAACTCATTCCAATCTAACCTCTTTGTTGTGGGGGGGTTAACTCATTGCAAAATAAAACATGAACTGATTATATAAAGCCTTTCTCTGTACTTACCAATGCCGCAGCAACATCGTCATAAATATCCCCATCGTCATCATCATCATAGTCATCCGGCCAGTCATTCTGGTTGCCGTTGGGAACTAAGGGGGCGTTTTGTCCAGTATTGCCACTGGATTTTGTGGTTGGGTCTACCTTTGTGTAGGAGTCCTTTGTTTTAGGCGGAGGAGCAGGCTGAATGTCCTCCATTTTTGGGGGAGGGGGTAGTTCTTGTGAATCCTGTGAAGGGCCACAATAGCCATGTAACACAATGACACACTTGTGAATCACAGTCTAATTTGTATATCAGTTACTTTCATAGAATTACAATTTTGGAAAATATGTAACCTAGTTAAGGTGTTTGATCAGATGATTTGTATGCATCATATCACAAATAAGGCAATTATCTTTAGAATTCAGATTTTTTCATAATTACAATCTAGCTTGTTCAGTTAATGTTGCATTTTTTATTTACCGTTCACCCCAAAACAATCTTTAATAATTATGACAAAATGTTAATTGAAATTACAGAATATATTAGAACTAATCGAAAATAAATGAACTCAAGAAACAAATTTCTGTAAAAAATCATCACATTAATATGTGCTGCCTGTTTTATCACAAAAAGTTTTTCTGGGATTCCAAGAGCCGATATCTAAATACAATACATATACCTGTATTTTGAAAGCATCTGCAATACTTCTAGTTTTTCCTACATGCGAATTGCAGACTGCTTTTAACATCAAATATGTCAGTACGTCATATAAGGCAACTTTTAACAGGTTTCTGTTTTCAAAATTTTAGGTGATCGATCAAATCATGAATTAATCATTTGTTTTTTTATCAGACCTACACATGAATGTGTATGTATATAAATAGGTGTATATCACTCAAGAAAATGTGAAAATTGGAATGTTAATGTGAAAATTGGAATGTTAAAACTTGCTATCAGAAAAATAAATTATTAATACAACAAGTCAATGTTATATAGCATATACCAGGGTACAGTATGTTACTTACATAAGCTAGGTAATGGAACAAGCAAGAAATGACAACATACAAGCAGGACAGGCTTAGTTGATGTTGACAACTTAAAATCATTATTGTATCAAAGATTTTTTTAACATTAAAAAACTGGCAACATTTGCCAGTGTATGACCATAAATAGCCTTCAAAACTTTCCAAAATTTGTAATAAAATCAAGAAATTATTTTAAATAATTCCATTGTAGACTGAACTTGCTATTGCAATGATTGTCTCCCTTACCCTGCCATAAGAACTCTTCGGTTGTGGAGGGGGAGGTAGGGGTAAATCAGCTGGTTTAGAAGGTAAAGGTGGTTTGTCTACAGGGGTGGGGGGTAATGCTCCTCGAAAGCCAGGTGACTTTGGAACAGGTGGACTTTCAGTGCTTGGAGTTTTCACAATCTTTGGTGCAGTGCTGGTTCTAGTGGGACTAACCAGGCCAGCTGCAGGTAAGGCAGCACAGGAGCAGTCGGAAACATGCAACAGATCAGACATATATAAACAAACATGCAGGAAATTACTTACCTCCATAGAGAATGCTTAAGTAAGGAAATTGCCTGATGCAATGCTTGGATTAATCACAGCATACCCTGTATATACTCCTGCATACTATTGTAGCTATACATATAACTACATGTAAATCACATCTGAAAAGTTCTAAAACGTTTACTTCTTTTGTATAACATACTACAAAATTTAACACTTCAAAGTCTATAGCCTATATCAGACCTGAAGTCTCTAAAGCATTTGTTTTATCTATCACACAAAAACTGGGGACATAAAGCCTACTCATTAAAACTTACACATAATACAAAACTAATGGTTTTAGACTACCTCATCACAAGTAATATGATAACAAATGATGTCACATGTTTATAGAGCTGAACAACCTTCCAATGGGTCGAGGATTTATGGCCAGGCAGTAAAACAGAGTGTCACAACAGAGCGATGCACAATCAAGCTCAACAGGTTGGGTAGTCCACTGGGAGATGTTTCATCAACAGGCAGGGTAAAGAGGGAAGAAAGGGAGGTAAACAGACAAATCGTACACCCTGGAGTGGTGATTGGTGGTATACAGAGGGAGTGTTAACAGGGGGAGATGACCAGATATAGAGTATTACCCTGGAGTGATGGTGGGCAGTATACAGGGGGAGTGACAACAGGGGGAGATAACCAGTAGTACAGTGTTACCATGTGATTAGAATTTACAGATGGGCAGTATTAGAAATGAATTTTATCAGAGGGAAGGCACTTACATGCAGGATGCATAGACATACTGTACCACCTAGTTAATGTTGGACAGTGATGATGCAGCAAGGCTTCAATGCTAAGACACATGCACAAAAAATAATGTTACTGACCGATTTGATGTGTGACTTGTTGTGACGCTCCGGTGAATGACCAAATCGATTGTGTATTGCCAGACGATCTGTTTTAGGGGGTGTTGGACCTGGTCTAGGGGGTGGTGGTGGGTGACTTTGGTGATTGAAAGGCAGAGCTTTTTGTGGTAAAGATGGGGGAGCTTTCCGAGGATGGGAGAAAGGAGGCGAATTGCCTTGTAACATTTTCACCCTATCACGGATATTACTAGGAACAGACATTTGATCTGTATTTGAGCTGGAATCATCATCTGAAATGTACCATGTAGACATATATTCGATGTAGAGACTCTTCATCTTCAGCCAATTAAAAGAGACCTTTTCTGCACAATTACACACTTCAGCATCTCGTCATTCTGAACGTGGTTGTTTACATGTGATATCTAACTGCATCATAAATATATAACATATATAAAAGACCACATTAAGAGTTGCAGAAATGATTTCTTTTTAAAAAGAACTGAAGGTAAACACATAAGCACAACTTTGGTCAGCTTCAGCGTTCAATCGCAGGACTTAATGAAATGGGAAAAGAATGAACTGGAAAAAACATCTTAATATAACTCCCTGAACACCACATATCTCTACAGACTACCATACATCTAGAATGATCTATATATATTACACTGACCCCATCTCCCCCACTCATACACATACTGGCGCCAAGATATCTTCAATGATCCGTATATATAACCTTACTGACCTCCATTTATCCTCTCTGATTTTAGATATCCCCACTGACCTTCAGATATTCCAGCCGTCCCCAGCAAACACATACTAACCTTCACATATCCCCATCACCTCCGGACACTCCACTGACTTCAATATTATCTTACTGACCTCTACTTATCTCCATTGGCCCACTGATATCCTTATAGACCCCCACATAAATGTATACATAATGACTTCATGACATTCTTACCAACCCTTACACTGTCCTGACCCTTCAATTATCCTTTCTCCCGCATTATCCTGACCCCTACATTATCCTGACCCCTACAGTATCCCGATCCTTAAATTATAATTATCCAGACACTTACAGAATCCCGACCCCTTCAGTATAACGACTCCTACATTACCCGACCCCTCCATTATCCTGACACCTACATTATCCTGACCCCTACATTATCCTGACTCCTACATTATCCTGACCCCTACAGTATCCCGATCCTTAAATTATAATTATCCAGACACTTACAGAATCCCGACCCCTTTAGTATAACGACTCCTACATTACCCAACCCCTACATTATCCTGACCCCTACATTATCCTGACCCCTACAGTATCCCGATCCTTAAATTATAATTATCCAGACACTTACAGAATCCCGACCTTTCAGTATAACGACTCCTACATTACCCGACCCCTATATTATCCTAACCCCTACATCATCCTGACCCCTACATTATCCTGACCCCTACATTATCCTGACCCCTACACCTACATTATCCAGACCCCTACATTATCCTGACCCCTTCATTATCCTGACCCCTACATTATCCTGACACCTACATTATCCTGACCCCTACATTACCCTGACCCCTACATCATCTAGATCCCTATAATTATCCTGACCCCTACATTATCCTGACCCCTACATTATCCTGACCCCTACATCATCCAGACCCATAAATTATACTGCCCCTTACATTATCCTGACCCCTACATCATCCAGACCCCTACATTACCCTGACCCCTACATCATCTAGATCCCTATTATTATCCTGACCCCTACATTATCCTGACCCCTACATTATCCTGACACTTACATTATCAAAACCCCTACATTATCCAGACCCCTACATCATCCAGACCCCTACACTATTCTGACCCCTACATTATCCTGACACCTACATTATCCTGACCCCTATATTATCCTGACCCCTTCATTATCCTGACCCATACATTATCCTGACCCATACATTATCCTGACACCTACATTATCTTGACCCCTTTATTAACCAGACTGCTACATTACCGTGACCCCTACATTATACTGGCCCCTACATTATCCTGACCCATACCTTATCCTGAACCCTAACTTATCCTGACCCCTAAATTGTTTAGACTGCTACATTACTGTGACCCCTACATTATTCTGACACAAACATTATCTAGACTCCTACATCATCCCGACTCCTACACTATCCAGACCCCTACATCATTCAGACCCCTACATTATCCAGACCCCTATATCATCCAGACCCCTACATTATCCTGACCCCTACATCATCTAGATCCCTATTATTATCCTGACCCCTACATTATCCTGACCCCTACATTATCCTGACCCCTACATCATCCAGACCCATAAATTATACTGCCCCTTACATTATCCTGACCCCTACATCATCCAGACCCCTACATTACCCTGACCCCTACATCATCTAGATCCCTATTATTATCCTGACCCCTACATTATCCTGACCCCTACATTATCCTGACACTTACATGATCAAAACCCCTACATTATCCAGACCCCTACATCATCCAGACCCCTACACTATTCTGACCCCTACATTATCCTAACCCCTACATCATTCAGACCCTTACACTATCCTGACCCCTACATTATTCTGACCCCCACATTACACCGACCGATACATAAACCTGACCCATACATTATACTGGCCCTTACATTATCCTGACCCCTACATCATCCTGACCCCTACATTATCCAGACCCCTACATTATCAAGATCCCTACATCATCCTTACCCCTACATTTTCCAGATCCCTACATCATCCAGACCCTTACATTATCCAGACCACTACATTACCCAGACCCCTACATTATCCAGACCCCTACATTATCTAGACCCCTACATTATCAAGACCCCTTCATCATCCTTACCCCTACATTACCAATACCCCTACATTATCCAGATCCCTACATCATCCAGACCCTTACATTATCCAGACCCCTACATTATCCAGACCCCTACATTATCAAGATCCCTACATCATCCTTACCCCTACATTATCCAGATCCCTACATCATCCAGACCCTTACATTATCCAGACCACTACATTACCCAGACCCCTACATTATCCTGACCCCTACATCATCCTTACCCCTACATTATCAATACCCCTACATTATCCATATCCCTACATCATCCAGACCCTTACATTATCCAGACCCCTACATTATCCTGACCCCTACATAATCCAGACCCCTACATTACCCAGACCCCTACATTATCCAGACCCCTACATTATCCTGACCCCTTCATTAACCTGATCCATACCTCATCTAGACCCCTACATCATCCCGACTCCTACACTATCCAGACCCCAATATCTCATCCAGACCTCTATATTATCCAGACTCCTACATTATCCAGACCAGTACATTATCCAGACCAGTACATTATCCAGACCGTTACATTATCCAGACCCCTACACTATTCTGACCCCTACATTATCCTGACCCCTACATCATCCAGACCCTTACATTATCCAGACCCCTACCTTATCCAGACCTCTACATTATCCTGACCCCTACATTATCCAGACCCCTACATTATCCAGACCCCTACATTATCAAGATCCCTACATCATCCTTACCCCTACATTATCCAGATCCCTACATCATCCAGACCCTTACATTATCCAGACCACTACATTACCCAGACCCCTACATTATCCTGACCCCTACATCATCCTTACCCCTACATTATCAATACCCCTACATTATCCATATCCCTACATCATCCAGACCCTTACATTATCCAGACCCCTACATTACCCAGACCCCTTCATTATCCAGACCCCTACATTATCCAGACCCCTACATTACCCAGACCCCTACATTATCCAGACCCCTACATTATCCTGACCCCTTCATTAACCTGATCCATACCTCATCTAGACCCCTACATCATCCCGACTCCTACACTATCCAGACCCCAACATCTCATCCAGACCTCTATATTATCCAGACTCCTACATTATCCATCCAGACCCCTACACTATTCTGACCCCTACATTATCCTGACCCCTACATCATCCAGACCCTTACATTATCCAGACCCCTACCTTATCCAGACCTCTACATTATCCTGACCCCTACATTATCCAGACCCCTACATTATCCTGACCCCTACATTATCCTTACCCCTATCCATATGTCACTGACCTGCTTCCTCCTTCTGTCTAAACATTTCTAGTTTAGAGCGCATGTCCTCCCCCGTGGCATACTCCTTGACATCATTTGTACTGATTGGCCGTTCCTCTGTTGATTCTACTTTCCTCAGATTGCTACGTTTCTTCAAAACTTCACTGAGGTCAAGGCCACCTGGCTTTTGCTTCTGAACTTGAGGTTTTGGAGGTCCTAAGAGGAGATAACTCTAATCATAATAAGGTCATCATTTGGTTGGCAAATTGAGAAAGAGTATTGTACAGTAAAGTTGTAATGAAGCCTGTTTGTTTTTGTCATATTTCTATACATATGTTCTTTTAAGTGATCAATATTATTATTAGTTAATATAAATACCCAAATGAGAGCGGTAACAATACGAGCTCAAGTTGACAGATTTGGGGGTAAAAAGCTTTTTTAAGGTATTTTCTAATTACTTTGAGACATTGATAAACATTTCAAGAATGACATTTGCCTTCAGAAAATTTTATTCCATTTAGACATTTGTTGAATCACAATAATATTTTTATTATATCGATGAAAGATAAGTTTAATTGATTATTATAGTACATTTCACTTAATATCACGTCTGTTAATGTCACTTTTCGGTTATTATCATGTTTTTTTGATGCACCGTTTTTCCTGCTATATAATCTATGCAATTCAATTCTTTTATTATCACCTGATTTGATGTCGATTTCTCTTAATATCACTTTATTTTGGCCACTTTCACCAAAAAATACAGGTAAATGGTGGTAATGATTCATGATAAATGCCCTGGGGACCTTCTGTCACACCCTGGACGCATTATGTAAACAATGCCTTGGCCTAACAGGGTATTTTTTACACCTGGCTGACTGTCAAACAATAGGTTACACCTGGCTGACTGTTAAACAATAGGTTGACTTACATACTTGTTAACATGATATTCACCTGTGGTTGGGGGAGCTAGGACAGTCTAACATCTGTAAACTTTTCTAATGCCAAGTGTGATGTATTCTTTCAACTAATTATAACATGTGTACTATCTTCGATTACACACTTGCAGCAAATATCTAAGGAAATTAACCTATAAAAAGATGTTACTAGCGAAAGAACAGTATATATATCAAGATATAGGTAAATATTTACCAAGTCTCATGTTTACAATTGAATTTGATGCAGAATACCAGCCAAACACTTGTATGCCTACATCACTACTGCAGTAAACAATCATAATTACAATCGTACTGATCGTCATTTTGCTACTAACTATATGAAATGTAACTGCATACTGAAATGAAATACAAATAATATATTTATTTCTATACTTATTTACTTATATCTATATTTCAACTAGGGTAAAGAACAAGGTTAGTTACAAAATATCAATCTTCTTCGTAGAGCCACATCACTTAGGCATTTGACTAAGTTCACTTCCAGTTTTGAGGGCTGAAAAAAATCAGAAAATATGTATTCTGTTTATGTCATGTTTCTGTTAATATCATGTTTTTCTCTGTAAAATGGGAAGTGATATTAAGAGAAATCTACTGTACTTATATTTCACTTAACATGCCTAACTATGTTAAGAACTCCTACAGTATGTGTTTTTCTCCTCGTAATATTCACTGTCCAATAAAAGTCCATAATTTCCCAAAAGATCAATTTCAAAGACTGAATCTTTGGAACTAGACATTTTTTTATGATTAATATTTCTTACTTACCCGCCTTCTTCTCCAATGGTACTCTCTGTAAGACAATCACACATGTTATCATTAGCATTTACCTCCCCTGAAAATGCACACAATAGCAAGCTGGTCCACACTACTAACTGTACTTTATAAGCAGAGCATCATAAGATATTTACTAATATGAAGTTTAGCACAGAAAGAGTAAAACATGCAACAGAAACTGTAAGCCACATGGTATTTGTTTGTCCACTCTATATAACAAGCCTCATCATGTATTTTTTTTCCAAAAAACCCTGTTTATTTTTGTCATTTTAACATTAACACAAATCTTTTTTCCCCCCAGAACACTGACAGGTTAGCAAGGGCCCTGCCATGTGCCCGACTGTAACCGCAAGGTCTATTTTTAGTAATTGTGACCTTGACCTTACAAACCTTTCCTATTGCTTATTTTAGATACACGTGTATCACAGTGCATACGTCAATTGGTACTCTTGATTCTGAGCTAAACACCATAAACCACACAGGCTATTTTTAGTATTTAAGGTGGTTTTTTAACCTTATCCTTAGAGACTTTTCAAACCCCTTTTGCACATCTACATTTCCCAAATTTCACAAAAGTTTAATTTTCAGGATTGCAAGATAATCTCTGGAAACCAAAGTGTGGACGGAGAGATGAAACACTTGCTTCTCCAATGCGAAGCCCTAACATAGTTAATTACTTCATGTCACGATGTCGTCCTGTCTCTTTGTGTATAATGTCATCAATGACATATTTGCAGGGCAAAGCTACTAGATGATTTTTTTAATGTACTATAAAGCACTTCAGCAACACACAGATTAGGGGGTTAGAACTATAATGAAAAAACAAAATGCACGGTAAGGTGATACAATCTACATGATATAAATATCAGCACAGAAATACACATACATATCTATATACTGTTTAGGGATACTGGCAGACAGACCATTTAACACATATATTTCTATTATTTTAAAATCTTCCATCCATGGTCAATTTTCAAACAAAATTTCTATCGGAACCATAGGTTGTCTAGGTGATACTACACCGTAATAACAAGTTTTCTGAGCTGGGTACCGACTTACCTTACTCTGTGGTGGTGGTGGTGGGGGAGGGGGTGTTGGAGATGGGTTTTTGGGAGGTGGGGGGATTGGTCTGGAGGGGGGTGGTGGAGGGGGCTCAGGACCATCCATTTCTTGGTAAACTTCGTCTGGCTCCATGTGCACATCATCAGATATCTAGCGTGAAAATCAACACAGTTATAGGGTCAATATTTCAAACCCTTAGCCTGTTTCTGCAGGAAAAAGTCAGTTTAGTATAGTTTAGGAAAAAACATTTCCTTTAGTAAGTCCATTTTTTGTTTGCTGAAATATTTCACTGATGTTGAGATTTCAATTTTGGACAAAACACGAATACTATTTATCACATAACTGACACATTTTACTATGTCATACGGCCATGTCATAAATATGGTATTACACACACATGTAAAAGAGCCTAAAGGTGCTGCGTTTGGTCAAAACTGCGGGAACATATTCCTACGCCACTTCAGGTACTTCTTCTATTTATTATACCCTATGATACATTTAGTTTTATGATATAATATGGGGACGAATGTAACACTGTGGGCTTACCAGGGCAATGTGTGTAGGGATGTCCATGCATAGATAAAAGTATAATGCAGGTTTGGTTATGACAGCACATATACTTTGTGAGAAATTGAACTCAACCCCCAGCTAAACAGAAAACTTTAACATGGTCCAATTAATTAACAAAGTCCAATTAACAGTAAATTTTAGTTCAAATTCCGAATCTGAAATGTGCGTTTGGATGGTTATATAAAGATACAAGTATATTCCAGGTTCAATTATGATAAAAACCACATTTTGTAGTACAGCCAGAAGATAGTTCTGATTCAAAGGCAATTTCAGAGGTTGCTGAGTAACCACCGCGTGACAGAATAACAATGAGATTCTGTCAGGAAAGGGATAATTCAACAGATGAGGATGACAATCCTTTAATGGAGTTATCCAAACATTTAAGAGATAGAAAATCTAGATTAGAGTCGCAGAAACCGGGTTGTTCAAGTAATGATATGGAGCAAGATCCTCACCTAAATGACATGAGAAGTGAAGATAGTTCAGATTATGTCAGTTGATGAGGAAATTTTCAGTTATTATTTTTCATGTCTAATATTTTAAACAAGTTAATCGAGTCAAAAGAAAGGACTCTCCTGTACCGAAAGCGCTATGGCACGTGTGATTCAATCTCCTGCTCAATAACGGAATATCAAAAGTGGAAAACAAGTGTTAGTAGATTAAATGATAAGGAGGCACGGTAGTCTAGTGGTAGGATGCTGGGCTCGTGACCGAAGGGTTGAGGGTTTGAGTCATGGCACGGCACTGTGTTGTATCTTAGAGCAAGATACCTTACTCTGCTTGTTCCAGTCTGTAAATGAGTATGTGGTTGGGGAGTGCTAGAATTGTAGAATGCTAGCTGTGAGTGCCAAAATGGCAGCACCGGCTGTATGCTCCCCAGGGAGTTGAGAAAGATATTGCCTGGTTGCAAAGGCCCTATAACCATGGATAATTATTTGTGAACCGCTTTGAGACGCCCTACAAACTAGATTGTGATAAAGCAGTATAGAAGAACCTTGAATCATTATTAACAATATTACTAAAAAAAAGTAATAATTTCTATTCAAATAAAAACTCGAGTGAAAATTGAAATTCTAAAATTTAGAAACAAATGTATAATTTTGTATAATTTATGAAAAACTGAATGCATCAATGTTAATTCATGTGAGAATGAAAATGGTCAGGTAAGCTAATCACTTTGCTGAGTTACGAAATGGTGTCGGCTAAAGCTGAGGATGGGAGAACATCTTTAGCGATTCGTTTCCTCTACACCAACCATTCAGATCAACGACAATATACGTCACTGATCAACAAGACAAAGAGTCAATTAAATGTTGAAACCATTGAATGAGAGACAGAGACTACTTTCAAAATTAATTAATTAATCGGGAATAGGTTTAATGAGAGAGCACATACACATTAACGTGTGCCAGACTACAGAACACACCGTCGGGAATAGGTTTAATGAGCGAGCACATACCCATTAACGTGTGCCAGACTAGAGTACACACCGCCAGGAATAGGTTTAATGAGCGAGCACATACACATTAACGTGTGCCAGATTAGAGTACACACCATCAGGAATAGGTTTAATGAGAGAGCACATACACATTAACGTGTGCCAGACTACAGAACACACCATCGGGTATAGGTTTAATGAGAGAGCACATACACATTAACGTGTGCCAGACTAGAGTACACACCGTCGGAAATTGGTTTAATGAGAGAGCACATACATATTAACGTGTGCCAGACTAGAGTACCCACCGTCAGGAATAGGTTTAATGCGCGAGCACATACACATTAACGTGTGGCAGACTAGAGTACACACCGTCGGGAATTGGTTTAATGAGAGAGCACATACAAATTAAAGTGTGCCAGACTAGTGTACACACCGTCGGAAATAGGTTTAAGGAGAGAGCACATACACATTAACGTGTTCCAGACTAGAGTACACACCGTCGGAAACAGGTTTAATGAGAGAGCACATACATATTAACGTGTGCCAGACTAGAGTACCCACCGTCGGGAATAGGTTTAATGAGCGGGCACATACCAATTAACGAGAGCCAGACTAGAGTACACACCGTCGGTAATTGGTTTAATGAGAGAGCACATACATATTAATGTGCGCCAGACTAGAGTACACACCGTCGTGAATTGGTTTAATGAGAGAGCACATACATATTAACGTGTGCCAGACTAGAGTCAACACCGTCAGGAATAGGTTTAATGAGCGAGCACATAAACATTAACGTGTGCCAGACTAGAGTCCACACCGTCGGGAATAGGTTAAATGAGAGAGCACATACACATTGACGTGTGCCAGACTAGAGTACACCCCGTCGGAAATAGGTTTAATGAGGGAGCACATACACATTAACGTGTGGCAGACTAGAGTACACACCGTCGGGAGTAGGTTTAATGAGCGAGCACATACACCTTAACGTGTGCCAGACTAGAGTACACACTGTCGGGAATAGGTTTAATGAGAGAGCTCATACATATTAATGTGTGCCAGACTAGAGTACACACTGTCGGGAATAGGTTTAATGAGAGAGCTCATACATATTAATGTGTGCCAGACTAGAGTACACACCGTCGGGAATAGGTTTAATGAGCGAGCACATACACATTAATGTGTGCCAGACTAGAGTACACACCATCCGGAATAGGTTTAATGAGAGAGCACATACATATTAATGTGTGCCAGACTAGAGTACACACCGTCGGGAATTGGTTTAATGAGAGAGCACATACATATTAACGTGTGCCAGACTAGAGTACACACCGTCAGGAATAGGTTTAATGAGAGAGCACATACACGTTAACGTGTTCCAGACTAGAGTACACACCGTCAGGAATAGGTTTAATGAGAGAGCACATACACATTAATGTGTGCCAGACTAGAGTACACACCATCCGGAATAGGTTTAATGAGAGAGCACATACATATTAACGTGTGCCAGACTAGAGTACACACCGTCAGGAATAAGTTTAATGAGAGGGCACATACACATTAACGTGTGCCAGACTAGAGTACACACCGTCAGGAATAAGTTTAATGAGAGGGCACATACACATTAACGTGTGCCAGACTAGAGTACACACCGTCGGGAATAGGTTTAATGAGAGAGCACGACCGAAATAAGTTACAAATAAGTAAAGAGATAAATGTGTCATGTGAAAATAATGTAACATTGATAACAAAAATATAGTACTCTTGCGATTTTCGTTTGAATTGTTCATGCATTTCGTGGATATTATTATTTTAAATAAAACAGTACGTTAGATGTGTATCCTATGAAAACTGTTTGCTACTATATATAGCTATAATTGTTGTATAACATTATTGACGCTACGTAGGTGACATGCTAATTATTAATTATTGGTGATAATTAGAATTGTTTTCTGTTTGTCATAATAAGTAATGATTGTACATGTATATTGTATATATCATATCTAAGGAATTCTGATATTGTTATGATGATAGCTGTGTATCATATTTACTTGTAGAAATGATCATAACTAATTATGAGATGAGACATAGTACGTTTTAGGTAAACCCTTTCACCACTGTTGACCCTAATAGACTCATCCCAATCAATGTATGGTATAGTCTACTAAAGTTACATAGGGTGAAAGGGTTAATATTATATTAGGAAACAATCTAAATGTTTACTTTGTGTTTTAGTACCATGTTGTTCTCACTATCATGATGTGTCTATATATGACTGAAGGAAAAGTAGGTCATAGAAACTTAGAAGGCAGGAATTGATCAAAAAAAAAATATTGGTAGAATGGTTATTGTAACTTAAGGAACTTTGATTACACAATCAAATTTCTTAAAAAAGGGAACAAATGTGACAAAGTGAGGTCTACCAAACTTAAACAAAACATGTTGATATGATATGGGCATCAAGGGCAGAGTAAGACAGAGTGAGGGAGGAAAGTATGACCAGAAGAAGGAACACGTCTTAGACGCCAGGGAGTGTCCATGTCTTAGAAGCTAGAGAGGTATGCGATTGATACAACTTACATCATTTACCTGGAAGATTTGAGACACAACGCAGAAGTTATGAGTTTATATTACTGTACTAGATGAGATATTGTTACATTTGTACATGTACTTGTAATGAGACTGTTGATTTAAATCTATGAGTAAACAATGACTTTTACCAACTATTATGTGCATTTACAGCTACTGTGTCACAACAGATGCTTGACCAACTGACCTATCTGATCACTTTATGCCAACCCTATAGACATCTGTGACTTAATACTGACCCGTTAAACAAATCTATGTATAATGCCTCTTTGAAATTGACAAATCCTAAGTATGAAAAGCGCTCACAGCTAGCATTCAACAATTCTAGCAGTACCCAACCACGTACTCATTTACAGCTGAGTAGACTGGAACAAGCGGAGTAAAGTATCTTGCTCAAAGATACAACACAGTGCTGTGCCGTGGCTCGAACCCGCAACCCACCGGTCACGAGCCCGGCGTCCTACCACTAGACTACCGTGCCTCCTTTGCATCACATATAAAAGTATAAAACTCTTTAAAGCTCAAAGATTTTCTCGTCTGTTTACTATTATAATTGACACAAAGATACAACGGTTTTCACTTCTCCTTTTATCCCTTAGGAAATATAAAAAAATATCTCCGTTTTAACATGCAGACTAGCACACACTAGGAAAGTTTTGGCCCAATGAAAGCTTCTCCTCACTAGCTAAAAACTATATTTGTCTGGCATTAATTTCATCCTTAATAGCTAAAATACTATTTACATTAAACTGCATATTTTGATCCAGCCTAAATTCAGCCTTATGACGGAGGAAAAAATAGATAGATGTTAAACTGCAGAACTTACCTATACAGAGTAACTATCAACAACAGACACACTACAAGGATTAAAAATTCCCATTTCTAAAGTATTTACAGATCACCATAAAATCTGGCTATACTTAAAAGCATCAAAGAAACCTAACACTTCAATTATAAGCTTTTTCAATAATATATTTTTTTAAAAATATTAATTTAATCTTTAATACAGCTGTAGTTCTTAAATGAATATTTCATATTATACAAGATAAGAAAACAAAAATCTATCAAATAACCTTTTTCATCAAAAAGAAAATGAACAAGATGTAGTTTAATAAAAAGAAAATTGGTCAACTTGATTTCTGATAATACAGAGGATTAAGATCAAAAAGTTTTAATAAAACAATCTATGTCATAATTAAAGAAGCTCTAAGTTGTTATACATGGTATATGTTAGTCTAACAAAAAACAATTGTTTCATAGTTAATGATTTTCAAAATCAATGAAATTATTTTTATACAGTGTCACATGTTAATTCATACATAAAATAAATACATTTCACAAATCCAGGTAAAGCCATATTAACACCCAGCCATTGCTGACTTATGAGACACTTAAAAGCAATTTAACGTCAGTTATGAACACTTTGTTAAGAGAAAAAAATGTCTGCACTACCAGATACCTTTTATCGTAGCTTTTATACTCCTGACTACATAAAACTAATATTCTATTATGGCCCTTTCCCGAGGGAACCGTTCTCTTATAGTGTTGTCTGGGGAGGTATAGTGCCCGAGCCGTCAGGCTCGGGCACTATACCTCCCCAGACAACACTATAAGAGAACTGTTCCCGAGGGAAAGGGTCATAATAGATTTAGTACATCACATGACTGTACTAACTGTGACTGCAAATTGTGTCGCCTGCTTCGTTTTCATACATTGCTGAGCCTCTGCAAAGCAATCGGCATTCCCGGTCCCGAATCTCGAAGCCATTTTGGCAGACGACAACAATGAACTGAAAGTAGAATATGTACAGCGCCCCCTAGGAGAAGGGGCGCAACTCTTGGCGTCACGCTACTTTTCCCGCAGTCTCAGCGGTCCAAAAAAAAGGCATAGTGCCCGTCTCCAGGTATAGTTCCCGTCGTCAAGGGGGGATGCTAACTATACCAAATAGAGCAAGGGTAGTTATCCAATAGCTATCCTAGTAATTATCATGTGATGTACTAAATACATCATAATACTGACGTTTTAATTACCAGGTATTTATTTCTAATCAAATGATTTAAGAACTTATCTATAAAGATAAACTAATTATCCGGACATTTACCTCATAGGTTTCCTGTTCCTCAACAGCTTGGATTTCAAATTCATCATAGGTCTATACAGGAATAGATATATACAAAACAGATATACAGTATACAGGAATAGATATATACATCACAGATACACTATTACAAAGTTACCAACTTACTGTATATAAAATATCGTATGCATTGATTAACATATAATATTGATACATCTCGAGATTATTAACATGATTCTAGAATTGTTTGTCTATAAAGTACAGTATGTATTGATAAATATACAGTGTTTATATATATAGATTTATATATATTGACAGAAAACCGATATTGGTTCAGCACAACTGTCACAAACCTCTAACAAAAGGAAAATAATGAGCATGCACAACGCTGTGTATATATAAGTGAACAGATTTTATGCCGATTTTCCAAAAAATTGTGTTATAACAATTTTATGTGATACCTTCAGTAGTACATGTATCATCCTGGACATCCAGGGGTACACTCACTTTAGATCTCTACACCCCTGGATATCCAGGGGTTACACTCACTTTAGATCTCTACACCCCTGGATATCCAGGGGTTACACTCACTTTAGATCTCTACACCCCTGGATATCCAGGGGTTACACTCACTTTAGATCTCTACACCCCTGGATATCCAGGGGTTACACTCACTTTAGATCTCTACACCCCTGGATATCCAGGGGTTACACTCACTTTAGATCTCTACACCCCTGGATATCCAGGGGTTACACTCACTTTAGATCTCTACACCCCTGGATATCCAGGGGTTACACTCACTTTAGATCTCTACACCCCTGGATATCCAGGGGTTACACTCACTTTAGATCTCTACACCCCTGGAATCATCCTCGATATCCAGGGGTTACACTCACTTTAGATCTCTACACCCCTGGAATGTGGTCTCGGGTAAAAAAAACCTTATCGATCGCTAGGCTGATACCTGTCCTTTGAAGATTACAAAGGAGAGACCCCCGACTTCAAAGCATGTCAATTTTTAGATTCTTTTGATGTACATCAAGGGATCAAACTAGTCTTCTTGTCTCATCAACAAGGTGGCACCTTCAATTTTGCTATGACATACCAGGGCAGCAGGGAGCGAAAGTGAGCGTAACCCCTGGATATCGAGGATGTACATGTATTTACTGTAAGTTACTGATAATTACTTAAGGGTAATATAAGCTATAAACACCTACCTGTGAAGTGTACTGTACTTATGATGGGTACCTGTAGTTAACACATTTAGCGAGTACATATGTACTATGATAATTTACCAGTAGTGAGTACCCGGTCTATGATAATTTACCAGTAGTGAGTACTCGGTCTATGATAATTTACCGGTAGTGAGTACCCGGTCTATGATAATTTACCGGTAGTGAGTACCCGGTCTATGATAATTTACAGGTGGCGAGTACCCTGGCTATGATAATTTACTGGTAGTGAGTACCCCATCTATGATAATTTACTGGTAGTGAGTACCCCGTCTATGATAATTTACCGGTAGTGAGTACCCGGTCTATGATAATTTACCAGTAGTGAGTACCCGGTCTATGATAATTACCAGTAGTGAGTGCCCTGTCTATAATAATTTACCGGTAGTGAGTACCCTGTCTATGATAATTTACAGGTAGTGAGTACCCGGTCTATGATAATTTACCTGTACTGAGTACCCTGTCTATGATAATTTAGTGAGTACCCTATGATAATTAAGTGAGTACCCTATGATAATTTAGTGAGTACCCTATGATAATTAAGTGAGTACCCTATGATAATTAAGTGAGTACCCTATGATAATTTAGTGAGTACCCTATGATAATTAAGTGAGTACCCTATGATAATTTAGTGAGTACCCTATGATAATTAAGTGAGTACCCTATGATAATTAAGTGAGTACCCTATGATAATTTAGTGAGTACCCTATGATAATTAAGTGAGTACCCTATGATAATTAAGTGAGTACCCTATGATAATTTAGTGAGTACCCTATGATAATTAAGTGAGTACCCTATGATAATTTAGTGAGTACCCTATGATAATTTAGTGAGTACCCTATGATAATTAAGTGAGGAGTACCCTATGATAATTAAGTGAGTACCCTATGATAATTTAGTGAGTACCCTATGATAATTAAGTGAGTACCCTATGATAATTAAGTGAGGAGTACCCTATGATAATTAAGTGAGTACCCTATGATAATTTAGTGAGTACCCTATGATAATTAAGTGAGTACCCTATGATAATTTAGTGAGTACCCTATGATAATTTAGTGAGTACCCTATGATAATTAAGTGAGGAGTACCCTATGATAATTAAGTGAGTACCCTATGATAATTTAGTGAGTACCCTATGATAATTAAGTGAGTACCCTATGATAATTAAGTGAGGAGTACCCTATGATAATTAAGTGAGTACCCTATGATAATTTAGTGAGTACCCTATGATAATTGAGTACCCTATGATAATTTAATGAGTACCCTATGATAATTAAGTGAGTACCCTATGATAATTTAGTGAGTACCCTATGATAATTTAGTGAGTACCCTATGAGTACCCTATGATAATTTAGGGAGTACCCTATGATAATTTAGTGAGTACCCTATGATAATTTAGTGAGTACCCTATGAGTACCCTATGATAATTTAGGGAGTACCCTATGATAATTTAGTGAGTACCCTATGATAATTTAGTGAGTACCCTATGAGTACCCTATGATAATTTAGGGAGTACCCTATGATAATTTAGTGAGTACCCTATGATAATTTAGTGAGTACCCTATGAGTACCCTATGATAATTTAGTGAGTACCCTATGATAATTTAGTGAGTACCCTATGATAATTTAGTGAGTACCCTATGATAATTTGGTGAGTACCCTATAACCATTTTCTCTATCTACCTCCTGTGATTCTTCCTCCTCTACTTCAGCTCCAACATCAAATTCTGTATACTCCTCTTGCTGTGAAAATAAACACAAAGAAAATTACGGATTAGATTTTTCATTAGGAACAACAGACAATCTGCAAATTATTCAAATACGTTATATTATTACAGAAAATAATAACTGCCGGCACAGGATCATTTAGATGACGATTTTATTCTTATTACTTAAGAAATATTTTATTATAGATATTTATTTTGTGTATTTAACGTTTTGGTATGTCCCTTAATTTTCCTGTAGGGTTGAGAACACAAATTAAATTACTTCATTTACCCTCTGCCATAGTATTTATGTTTTGCATTTAATTCATCAGAAATTGTTAGTATCAAATATAATATTCTGTCTTTATTTAAAACAGTTGTTATCCACAGTTTTGCATTTAAAAAAAATTGCAAATTATATTTGGGAAAAAGAGATTTTTTAAAGTATTTGCTTTACCAGTAGTTACAAATTATATAAAGGTGAATATTCCAGACTTGAAAAATGAAAACATATATCAGGATACATGAATATCTGACTTACTTACGGTAAGTTCTATAAATAGAAGACAAAGACGGTGATGACAAAGGTAGAACAACCCTTACTTATTTACAATATGTTAATTATGCTGTATGACTGAAAAGAAAATCATATTTTTATAATGAATTTTCAATACGATATCATATCTTTAAGAAGAATTCTGAAATATTGATGAAAACAGAATTTAGGTTTTAGTCCTTATGATGATCATAATTTACATTTAAAATTAACTCCATTTTTGATTATTGATCTTGAATAGTTTTTCTCATATTTACTGATCTATCCATGGACAACTATATCTTTGAAAGTCAGACAATATGAGTCATTCAAGTTTATGTTCCACATCAAAACACACCAACAGATAGATTTCTACAAAGGGGTGGGGATTAGGGTTATCTAAGTAAACGTGCCTATAACAACCAACTACAGGCAAACAGAGAGATCTCTACAAAGGGGTGGGGATTAGGGTTATCTAAGTAAACGAGCCTAAAACAACCAACTACAGTAACATGAAACCAAACTATCCCGAACAGAACAAATTTATAGCCCGTTCTGAATAGATGAATCTATACTCTCATGTATATATACAGAACATAACCAACAAAGCATCACAAATGGGAAATAAAACACCAGTTCAGATTTCAATTTAAAATATAGGTCACTGTGACCTAGTTATGGGGCAAAACACACCTTCAAGCATAGCTAAACAGCAAATGACTTTGGTGCACCTGAATAAAAACAAGAATTTCATGGCCAGGAAAACTATGTTATGAATCTAGTTCAACAGTGTGACAAAAGTTCACTCCTAGATTTTGAATTTTGGACATAAATTTGGATGTGACAGCACATGAATCCTCATGCAAAGGGAAATATTGTCGAGAAACTATGATTACAGAAGAACAGAGATAGGTATGTAATGAAGCACACACACATACATAGTTAACATACATACTAAATACTCCTCCAATTACAAACACATACTTCTAGGTTTAACCACATAACAGGTGTGGCATGTTGAATTTTATAAACGTAATCCTAGGGTATATGACTGTATCAAACCTTAGCACATTGGTGTGTTCATAAATGTAATAAAACAGCATTGAAAAAGAACATTTTTACGAAATATTTGTAAAGAAATATTATTGAATTCATAGACTTTTCCAAACTCAAATCCTTTTCAAAGACAAGAACGTCAGAAGGTAGATACTATTCATTTCGTACATATTAATTGAGATCAGATCCAAAGGCCATTGCGTAAAATTGTTACAGTTAAGGTTTATTAGGTGTAAGGCATTAAAGCCCTGTCCCTCGTCAATGCATTACAGCAAAGCAGCGTTATTTTATAGCTTATCAAAATTCCTACATTCAAAAACATGTGGGGTGCATTGAGGTGGTCAAACAAAATAATTAGTCGACGAGTGTACTGTCAGTATTGTAAGATGTTCAACAGCATTTGAGTGGGAAAATAGCCGATAGCTCCCCATACACAAAGACTTGAGAGCTGTTTACCATCAGCAGCAAAGTTAAAAGAACAGAAAGAATAGAATTTGAGATAGAAAAAGCATGAACCTCGTTTGAATCCTCCTGCATTTCAAATTGATCATATTCGTCTTGTTCAAACTGAAATAGTGGTCACATATTTCATCACAGTTGTCTTGTTTAAACAGAAGCAGTGGTACAAATACACACCGATACCTTGTAGAAAACAATCATAGGTAGACACATAGGTTTTCTATTACATTAAAATGCTAAACAAAACATTATAACTACCATGACAATCTAACATACTCATCGATAAGCTTACAGTTAATATAATGTACTACCACTTCTTTTGTTCATTAAATGAATACAGTAAAAACCTTGTGATGACCTTGTACATTATGATCTTGTGTATGACCTAGCTACTTACCCTTTGTATCTGAACTGTATCTTGTTTATGACTTCATGACCTTATGTACGACCTACTGACCTTAAGAATATGATCTGTATTTGGAGTATGACTTCATGACCTCATGACCTTGAGAATATGATTTGTATCAATTTTGTATATAAACTTTTAACTTTGTGTACCACCTTCTGACCCTACACAAGATCTAGTGATATTTTTATGACCTACTAACCTTTTGTATATGAACTGCACCCTGTGAACCATCTTCTGACCCTGCACAAGATCTAGTGATATCTTTATGACCTACTAACCTTTTGTATATGAACTGTACCCTGTGTACCACCTTCTGACCCTACACATGATCTAGTGATATTTTTATGACCTACTAACCTTTTGTATATGAACTGCACCCTGTGAACCATCTTCTGACCCTGCACAAGATCTAGTGATATTTTTATGACCTACTAACCTTTTGTATATGAACTGTACCCTGTGTACCACCCTCTGACCCTACACAAGATCTAGTGATATTTTTATGACCTACTACCCTTTTGTATATGAACTGTACCCTGTGTACCACCTTCTGACCCTACACATGATCTAGTGATATTTTTATGACCTACTAACCTTTTGTATATGAACTGCACCCTGTGAACCATCTTCTGACCCTGCACAAGATCTAGTGATATTTTAATGACCTACTAAACTTTTGTATATGAACTGCACCCTGTGAACCATCTTCTGACCCTACACAAGATCTAGTGATATTTTTATGACCTACTAACCTTTTGTATATGAACTGTACCCTGTGTACCACCTCATGACCTTGTGGATGTCCTAATGACCTTGTGGATGTCCTAATGACCTTGTGGATGTCCTAATGACTATTTGCACAAGTCCTCTTGTGTTTGATCTTGTAAAATAGTATGCAACCTGTAACCTTACATTTGACCTGGTCACTTAATGACCTTAAATATGACCTTGTGTATGACCCAGTGACCATTTGTATGAATATTATTTTTTGTTTGACCTAATAATAAAGTGAGTGACCATGGTACCTTACATTTGATCTGGTCAGTTAGTGACCTTGAATATGACCTTGTGTATATAATTTAGCGACCATTTGTATGACTAATTATTTTTTATTTGATAATATAGTTAGTGACCTAGTAACCTTACATGTGATCTTGAGTATCACCTTGTGTATGACCTATTGACCTTACCTCAGGATCACAGTCCTGGTACACTTCGCCAACATCAGCCTCGTTGTAGATGTCTCCATCGTCTGACGTCAGAGACTGTAAACAAATGTCATATAATGGTAAAGTGACTGTAAACAAATGTCATATAACGGTAAAGTGACTGTAAACAAATGTCATATAATGGTAAAGTTTGTTTATATACATCACGACTCACACAAACATCCATGTTATTTAACAGGGAAGAAATCTCTGCTTATATAACAGAAAAAACATCTATTTCAGGATCTTTGCTAGTCAGTGAAACAGGAATTAAAACCAGCAGACCGTAAACGTATCACCTAAACAGTTCATAACGTAAAATTGTGAAAAACACACAGAAAGTATCCATGAATGTGCTAGGATCACGGTGTTGCTTGCATTTTATTACTTTTGTGAGGATTTTTATTTTTGTATTATCCAGTTCGAGAATGGAGAAACAGTTATTTACTATCATTGAATTAAGATTTTATTATTAAAAACATATTAACTATCACAGTTTCCTAGATTTAGGATAGCAAAATATTATTGGCAAATACAGACATTGATTAAAGGATTGGTTACTTAAAAGCTAATACACTATAAAAAGTATTTAAACATCAGCTGAACTTTATATAACAGATGACTATCTGGGATATCATAACCTTTATATAACTGATGATGGTCTGGGATATCATGAACTTTATATAACAGATGACTATCTGGGATATCATAACCGTTATATAACTGATGATGGTCTGGGATCTCATGAACTTTATATAACAGATGACTATCTGGGATATCATAACCGTTATATAACTGATGATGGTCTGGGATCTCATGAACTTTATATAACAGATGACTATCTGGGATATCATAACCGTTATATAACTGATGATGGTCTGGTTTACCATGACCTTTATATAACAGATGATGGTCTGGGATATCATGCACTTTATATAACAGATGATGGTCTGAGATACCATAACTATAACAGATGACTGTCTGAGATACCATGACTCTTATATAAATGATGATGGTCTGAAATACCATGACTTTTATATAACTGATGAGGGTCTGAGATACCATGACTTTTATATAACTGATGAGGGTCTGAGATACCATGACTTTTATATAATTGATGATGGTCTGAGATATCTTGCACTTGGAGCCAAACCCATTCTTGACAGCCTGAGGGGCGCTGTAATACTGTGTAACACGCATTGCGAAATTGTATAATCTTGATTATTGTGATGAGAAATTACTGATGTATACACAGTGTACATTATCGCATACAAGCCTTCCGTATTTTTGTCATTCCGTAATTTTGGTCTACAAATGATACCAAATCGCACAGTTGTGCGGAGATAAGCGCACAACGGGGCGAACGATTGCTAAATCGCACAGTTGTGCGCACCATGTGTGGACGATGTGCGGACGGTGTGTGAACGATGTATGCACGATGTTCGCACGCTATTTTTGGTGCGTTGTGCGGTCCCACAACTGTATAACAGATGACTGTCTGAGATACCATGACTTTTATATAAATGATGATGGTCTGAGATACCATGACTTTTATATAACTGATGATGGTCTGAGATACCATGACTTTTATATAACTGATGATGGTCTGGGATATCATGACCTTTATATATAACTGATGATGGTCTGGGATATCATAACCTTTATATAACTGATGATGGTCTGAGATACCATGACCTTTATATATAACAGATGATGGTCTGGGATATCATAACCTTTATATAACTGATGACTGTCTGAGATACCATGACCTTTATATAACTGATGATGGTCTGGGATACCATGACCTTTATATAACTGATGACTGTCTGGGATATAATGACCTTTATATATTACAGATGATGGTATGGGATCGATACCATGACCTTTATATAACTGATGACTGTCTGGTATATAATGACCTTTATATATAACAGATGATGGTCTGGGATACCACGACCTTTATAGAACTGATGACTGTCTGGGATATAATGACCTTTATATATTACAGATGATGGTCTGGGATCGATACCATGATCTTTATATAACTGATGACTGTCTGGGATATAATGACCTTTATATATTACAGATGATGGTCTGGGATCGATACCATGACCTTTATATAACTGATGACTGTCTGGGATATAATGACCTTTATATATAACAGATGATGGTCTGGGATACCATGACCTTTATATAACAGATGATGGTCTGAGATACCATGACCTTTATATAACTGATGATGGTTTGGGATATCATGACCTTTATATAACTGATGATAGTCTGAGATACCATGACCTTTATATAACAGATGATGGTCTGGGATATCATGACCTTTATATAACATATGATGATCTGGGATATCATGACCTTTATATAACTGATGATGGTCTGGGATACCATGACCTTTATATAACAGATGATGGTCAGAGATACCATGACCTTTATATAACTGATGATGGTCTGAGATATTATGACCTTTATATAACTGATGATGGTCAGAGATACCATGACCTTTATATAACTGATGATGGTCTGAGATACCATGACCTTTATATAACTGATGATGGTCTGAGATACCATGACCTTTATATAACTGATGATGGTTTGGGATACCATGACCTTTATATAACAGATGATGGTCTGAGATACCATGACCTTTATATAACTGATGACTGTCTGAGATACCATGACCTTTATATAACTGATGATGGTCTGGTTTACCATGACCTTTATATAACAGATGATGGTCTGATATACCATGACCTTTATATAACTGATGACTGTCTGAGATACCATGACCTTTATATAACAGATGATGGTCTGGGATATCATGCACTTTATATAACAGATGATGGTCTGGGATACCACGACCTTTATATAACTGATGATGGTCTGGGATACCATGACCTTTATATAACAGATGATGGTCTGAGATACCATAACCTTTATATAACTGATGATGGTTTGGGATACCATGACCTTTATATAACAGATGATGATCTGGGATATCATGCACTTTATATAACAGATGATGGTCTGGGATACCACGACCTTTATATAACTGATGACTGTCTGAGATACCATGACCTTTATATAACTGATATATGTCTGGGATACCACGACCTTTATATAACAGATGACTGTCTGGGATACCATGACCTTTATATAACTGATGATGGTCTGGGATACCATGACCTTTATATAACTGATGACTGTCTGAGATACCATGACCTTTATAAAACTGATGATGGTCTGGGATATCATGAACTTTATATAACAGATGACTGTCTGGGATATCTGTCACTTTATATAACAGATGACTGTCTGGGATACCATGACCTTTATATAACTGATATATGTCTGGGATACCACGACCTTTATATAACAGATGACTGTCTGGGATACCATGACCTTTATATAACTGATGATGGTCTGGGATACCATGACCTTTATATAACTGATGACTGTCTGAGATACCATGACCTTTATAAAACTGATGATGGTCTGGGATATCATGAACTTTATATAACAGATGACTGTCTGGGATATCTGTCACTTTATATAACAGATGACTGTCTGGGATACCATGACCTTTATATAACTGATATATGTCTGGGATACCACGACCTTTATATAACAGATGACTGTCTGGGATACCATGACCTTTATATAACTGATGATGGTCTGGGATACCATGACCTTTATATAACAGATGACTGTCTGGGATATCACGAACTTTATAAAACTGATGATGGTCTGGGATATCATGAACTTTATATAACAGATGATGGTCTTGGATACCATGAACTTTATATAACAGATGACTGTCTGGGATATCATGAACTTTATATAACAGATGATGGTCTGGGATACCATGAACTTTATATAATAGATGACTGTCTGGGATATCACGAACTTTATATAATTGATGATGGTCTGAGATATCTTGCACTTTATATAACAGATGACTGTCTCAGGGATATCATGAACTTTATATTACAGATGACTGTCTGGGATATCTTGAATAGCAATCTTTTACAATTTTGTATGATCCCTGCAATTAAGACACATCACAATAAGACTTCATTCATTATAAAATGAGATAAACACTTTTTTTTAGAATTGTTTCACATTTTTTAAAGACTTTTGAAGTTATACATATTCTTGACCATATACATATGTATTCAATGACAATGATGAGCTGTAATGTTTACATCATCAAATTACTTCACACTATTTTAAATATTGTTATACTTTTTCATTAATCAATTATAATCCCCATTCTTAATCAATCAACAAAATTTGTTCCACCATCAAGATATATTTTACACTTATCTACTAGTAGATTCTTTAAGTTAAATTTTACTGACATCATTTTGATGTTAAAATATAAAGGCCAAGTAGGAAACAGCTCCTTTTCATGTCAATTATAAAATAAGAAAAAAATGAGAAACAGTATTAAATGAAGTAAAAGTTTAAAATATAGTGTAGAAATGATCAGCTGACCAAACATTTAGGCCGTATCAATGTAATTTGAAATGTAATACATGTAAACGCATTGCATCAATGAAAACTCAAAACAGAATACAACCTTTTACCTTAAAACATCTCCCTTGGTCATACACAATAATATATATAAAAAACACCCGTATGTAGTAAAGAAATCATTTTACAGATTATTAATACTGCATGCTTTTTAGAAAATAAAGGACACAGAGTTTAGTGTACCATAGTATAGAATTGTATTTTTTTGTTTTGTCAATCTTACACACACACAAATCTCTTTATTTACCAGTTTAACAAACTCGTTTTTCCCTTTACATGCCACCAGATTATGACAAGTACCAACATGTGTAGATACACGTACCAACATGTGAAGATACACGTTACTCACATGTGTAGATACAAATACTCACATGTGAAGATACACATACCCACATGTGTAGAAACACATACCCACATGTGTAGATACACATACCCACATGTGTAGATACATGTACCAATGTGTGTAGGTACAGTCTGGGAGGGTGTTGCTGTAATGTTTAAATAGGGAACCTGATAGTGTAGGAGATTAGACATACCACATTTACATAGTTTAAATCAACTTTCTTGTGATGATTTATATATATGCAAATATGATTTCATAAATACACATGTTAACCAATCAATCTCTATTTTTCAGGTAAAAATGCAAACACATTAAATTAACTTTCTTGTAAAAGCGCTGATCGATTAGATTTTTTTATTTTTGTATACTAGTGGAAGTCATGAGTTTTAGGCGGAGTAAACTGACTTACGCCCCCTCACTACTGAGTTGTTCGGTTATCCAGCAGATAAATCATACTATTAAGACTGATTGATTGATTGTGTGAGTGGTTTAACGTCTGCTTCACTACCCAGTAGTTCAGTTATCCAGCAGATAAACTGTACTGTTACGATTGATTGATTGATTGGTTGATTGATTGATTGAGTGGTTTAACGTCCGCTTCACTACCCAGTAGTTCAGTTATCCAGCAGATAAACTGTACTGTTACGATTGATTGATTGGTTGATTGATTGATTGAGTGGTTTAACGTCCGCTTCACTACCCAGTAGTTCAGTTATTCAGCAGATAAATTGTACTGTTACGATTGATTGATTGGTTGATTGATTGATTGAATGGTTTTACGTCCGCTTCACTACCCAGTAGTTCAGTTATCCAGCAGATAAATTGTACTGTTATGATTGATTGATTGGTTGATTGATTGAGTGGTTTAACGTCCGCTTCACTACCCAGTAGTTCAGTTATCCAGCAGAGGAAAACATCAGTGACTTCAACTTCTAATCTAACATCTTTATACAGGGCCACCACTGTGACAATTCTTGACCAATGAATGATCAGCATTTTTATCAACGATGTAATATTTGCTGATCCTAAATCATTTCCTCTATACTGTAACTTATTTGAATATTGTGCACACTTATGTGTAGTTGTGACTTTGTAGAACCTCTTCAGAAAGGAAAGTCATTGACAACCGCACATCAGTCATATCCTGATATATTAACGCTCTGCTGTAGATAATACCGTGGATTACCATGGTAACATGTCACATTATGTACCAGCTTTCCCCTTCAAATGTGCAGGGGACTTACATGATGATCAAATACATCAGATATATAGAGACTGTGTTAAATCGTTCAATTTATTCGTGACTGCTATAAAAGTGTTTGCTGTATTATAAAGGCAATGTTTTACTAAAATGCGACCAGAAGAAATATAAATTCTGACGGACCTCATAATTTTTTTTTTTAAATATGAATTCTGACAGACCTCATAACATTTGATTAAATTTCTATGTATTATGATCATTAAAATTACTCAACTACACTTATCACCTTTCCATGAAATTTACACATCACTTGAATTAACAGAAAATGTAATAGGTTTGGTTGTGTCTACATTAGCTGAATATATTTACGTAAAGAGTAAAGCTTAATCTTGAGAACCCCTCATTTAAAAGTAGAGCCATCCTATACCACACAGAGAAACAGCACGGCACTGGTTAGCTTACAGCTGGTGGGGATGGCATTTAAAATACATTAATTTAAGTATGATGAGATTGTTTCATACATTTTGTATGCTAACAATGAGACTGTAAGTTAAAGATGACAATCATAAACAGATCAGTTTGTGAACTATTCTATTTTCTTTTTCAGAACTTAGCTTATCTAAGGTTCAATACGGAAAAAAATAATTGAAGTGTATGTCAATTTTTTAACAGAATACTTCCTTAACATTGCTGCTATCGCCCACATTAGTGTAAACTATCTACATATACATCACAATCACAAATGACTTGTGAGCTAGCAGCCTTTTCCTTCATGAATTACGACATGTTCCTCAACACTTAAATATAACATTGTGGGGTTAAGTGTCATGACAATGTAACACTGGAGCTCATATATATAGTCATCAACATATCCAAACTGCATGCACATGCCTTACTAGTGTACCCATTCCAAGGAGATCTCCCATGTCGGGATTGCAGCATCCATACGTATACCCATGCCCTTATAGGAGAAACCCTCAAGCAGCATGCCATAATCATAGCAAGAAAAATCAGGCACACAAACAAAATATACTGATGTTAATACATTGTATTAGGGGTACAAATTCACTGAGATTTTGGAAAATAATTAAAACAAATGAAAATAAATAATTATTCCAAAGTAAAAAGTATCATTGGCTGAGCTATGGAAGATCCTGCATGTTCTCTTCAAAAGTTAATTTGAAAAGAATTTTACTGAAATTTGCATATCTGATAGTTCTAAAATAAATTAGTTCCAATATCTAATCTGTATGAACATTAAGATACCAGTGAAATGTTCAGGGATTAAGGTCAAAGGTCAGGAGAGAGAACAGGGACAGGATCACCATAGGATGACCAGGTAGATATTGTCGTATGTCAGACGACATGGACAGGTAGATATAGCTAGGCTACTTAGTTGTATGTCAGACAACATGGACAGGTAGATATAGCTAGGCTACTTAGTTGTAAGTCAGGCGACATGGAAAGGTAGATATAGCTAGGCTACTTAGTTGTATGTCAGACGACATGGACAGGTAGATATAGCTAGGTTACTTAGTCGTATGTCAGACAACATGGACAGGTAGATATAGCTAGGCTACTTAGTCGTTGTCAGACGACATGGAAAGGTAGATATAGCTAGGCTACTTAGTTGTATGTCAGACAACATGGACAGGCAGATATAGCTAGGCTACTTAGTCGTTGTCAGACGACATGGGAAGGTAGATATAGCTAGGCTACTTAGTTGTATGTCAGAAGACATGGACAGGTAGATATAGCTAGGCTACTTAGTGGTTGTCAGACGACATGGAAAGGTAGATATAGCTAGGCTACTTAGTTTTATGTCAGACGACATGGACAGGTAGATATAGCTAGGCTACTTAGTCGTTGTCAGACGACAGACGACATTGACAGGTAGATATAGCTAGGTTACTTAGTTGTATGTCAGACGACATGGACAGGTAGATATAGCTAGGCTACTTAGTTGTATGGACAGGCTAACAGATTCCCATGACTAAGTACACTTGTACCTAAAAAGGTCTTTTAATTCTGACTTATTTATAAAGATCACATACCTATTACTTAACTGTCCAAAGCATGCTTTTATCCTAGGTATATGACACTAAATAGGCCAAACAATATGTGTTTAAGGTATCCCGACCTACAGCCACTCAATAAAATGTACTTTCTTCCTGTCCTGGGTGGCTGGCCCTATTCTTGACAAATTAATAGCCATTGTAATGTGTGGGAATGCATTGTAAAGTTTCATAAAAAGAATAATACTAATACATAAAAAAAAAAATGAAATTGTAATTATTTGCCTACAGACCTGTCCTATTTTTTTCAGGCATGCTACCTGACACACACATACTGTATTATTTGTTTTTGCCTTATCAATAAAATGTTGTATCTATATTTCCTTTCCCTTTGAGAGACGCTATAGATAGGTTCGTTTCAGTAGGGTTGGTTAGGAGAAGAGAGAACCGATAAAGACATGCACAAATAAAAATGAACCTCTTGTTTTTGTATAGGTGAAGGTTGACGCTTATTGGGTGGAGTTGGTGGTAAGCGACTGGCGTGTCGCGGTACAGGGACAGGGTGTGCTGCAGGTGCATCTCGTCTCTGAACACGGGGTAAAAAGTCAAAACAAACCTCAGTCACTCATGATCAATTCAAATCACAGACTTTTGAATGAGTTTATTATACATAAACATGTGTTTCTGTATCTTTAAGTTACACACAGATTTATATAGTATGCTGCCTTATATAACTTACCACAATCACAATCATTGCTGCTCATCTAATTTGTTACAGGAGGCTAATCGGTGCAATCAGAACCTGACAAGTGTGAAACTATGCTTACAGAAAGTTACAGTATGCCCGCGTAATCTAACAGTGTTGGAAATTCACTGCAGAATTTCTCAACAGGTTACTTAGCTATGAGGAACATAAAGCTTCAGCAATGACGTACTGGAGGAAGCAGGTGTTTTAAGCTCCTGAGATATGTTTAAGTATTTCAACAAGAAAAATTGTGTGAACAATTGATAACTGTCAAACTAAACAATGGCCACCAGGAAGCAAACATGTTCTTGTAATCAGTCCTAAAACTGAAGATGCCTATATAATTATGGACCAGCGCACGATAACCTTTATAATTATAGACCAGTGCACGGTAACCTATATAATTATGGACCAGCGCACAGTAACCTATATAATTATGGACCAAAGGTAACCTATATAATTATGGACCAGCGCACGGTAACCTATATAATTATAGACCATTGCACGGTAACCTATATAATTATGGACCAGCGCACAGTAACCTATATAATTATGGACCAAAGGTAACCTATATAACTATGGACCAACGGTAACCTATATAAATATGGACCAATGATAACCTATATAATTATGGACCAGCGCATGGTAACCTATATAACTATAGATCAACGGTAAACTATATAACTATGGACCAGCAGTAACCTATATAATTATGAACCAACGGTAACCTATATAATTATGGACCAACAGTAACCTATATAATTATGGACCAGCGCACGATAACCTTTATAATTATAGACCAGTGCATGGTAACCTATATAATTATGGACCAGCGCACAGTAACCTATATAATTATGGACCAAAGGTAACCTATATAACTATGGACCAACGGTAACCTATATAAATATGGACCAATGATAACCTATATAATTATGGACCAGCGCATGGTAACCTATATAACTATGGACCAACGGTAAACTATATAACTATGGACCAGCAGTAACCTATATAATTATGAACCAACGGTAACCTATATAATTATGGACCAGCGCACGGTAACCTATATAATTATGGACCAGCGCACGGTAACCTATATAATTATGGACTAACGCACAGTAATCTATATAATTATGGACCAGCGCACGATAACCTATATAATTATGGACCAGCGCACGGTAACCTATATAACTATGGACCAGCGCACAGTAACCCATATAATTATGGACCAGTGCACAGTAACCTATATAACTATGGACCAGTGCACGGTAACCTATATAACTAACGACCAGCGCACCGTAACCTATATAATTATGGACCAACGGTAACCTATATAATTATGGACCAACGGTAACCTATATACCTAACAACCAGCGCACCGTAACCTAAATAATTATGGACCAGCGCATGGTAACCTATATAACTATGGACCAACGGTAACCTATATAACTATGAACCAACGATAAACCTATATAATTATGGACCAGCGCACGGTAACCTATATAACTATGAACCAACACACGTTAACCTATATAATTATGGACCAGCGCACGGTAACCTATATAAGTATGGACCAGCGCACAGTAACCTATTTAATTATGGACCAGCGCAAGGTAACCTATATAACTATGGACCAACGGTAACCTATATAACTATGAACCAGCAGTAACCTATATAACTATAGACCAATGGTAACCTATATAACTATGGACCAATGGTAACCTATATAACTATGGACCAGGGCACGGTAACCCCAAAGGTAACCTATATAATTATGGACCAGCGCACGGTAACCTATATAACTATGGACCAGCGCACGGTCACCTATATAACTATGGACCAACGGTAACCTATATAACTATGGCCCAACGGTAACCTATATAACTATGGACCAACGGTACCCTATATAACTATGGAACAACGGTAACCTATATAACTATATAACTATGGACCAGCGCACGGTAACCTATATAACTATGGACCAGCGCACGGTCACCTATATAACTATGGACCAACGGTAACCTATATAATTATGGAACAACGGTAACCTATATAACTAACGACCAGCGCACGGTAACCTATATAACTATGGGACAACGGTAACCTATATAACTATGGACCAGCGCACGGAAACCTATATAACTAACGACCAGCGCACGGTAACCTATATAACTATGGACCAACGATAACCTATATAATTATGGACCCTATGGACCAACGGTAACCTATATAACTATGGAACGGTAACCTTTATAACTATGGACCAGCGCACGGTAACCTATAAAACTAACGACCAGCGCACGGTAACCTATATAACTATCGAACAACGGTAACCTATATAACTATGGACCAGCGCGCGGTAACCTATATAACTAACGACCAGCGCACGGTAACCTATATAAATATGGACCAATGATAACCTATATTAACTATGGACCAGTGCACGGTAACCTATATAACTAACGACCAGCGCACGGTAACCTATATAACTATCGAACAACGGTAACCTATATAACTATGGACCAACGGTAGCCTATATAAATATGGAACAACAGTAACCTATATAACTATGGAACAACGGAAACCTATATAACTATGGACCAACGGTAACCTATATAACTATGGAACGGTAACCTTTATAACTATGGACCAGCGCACGGTAACCTATATAACTATGGACCAGCGCACGGTCACCTATATAACTATGGACCAACGGTAACCTATACAACTATGAACCAGCAGTAACCTATATAACTATAGACCAATGGTAACCTATATATCTATGGACCAATGGTAACCTATATAACTATGGACCAGGGCACGGTAACCCCAAAGGTAACCTATATAATTATGGACCAGCGCACGGTAACCTATATAAGTATGAACCAACACACGTTAACCTATATAATTATGGACCAGCGCACGGGAACCTATATAACTATGGGCCAACGGTAACCTATATAACTATGAACCAACGATAAACCTATATAATTATGGACCAGCGCACGGTAACCTATATAACTATGGACCAACGGTAACATATATAACTATGGACCAACGGTAACCTATATAACTATGGCCCAACGGTAACCTATATAACTATGGACCAACGGTAACATATATAACTATGGACCAACGGTAACCTATATAACTATGGCCCAACGGTAACCTATATAACTATGGAACAACGGTAACCTATATAACTATGGACCAGCGCGCGGTAACCTATATAACTAACGACCAGCGCACGGTAACCTATATAAATATGGACCAATGACAACCTATATAACTATGGACCAGCAGTAACCTATATAACTATGGACTAGCGCACGGTAACCTATATAACTATGATACAACGGTAACCTATATAACTATGGACCTACGGTAACCTATATAACTATGGACCAACGGTAACATATATAACTATGGACCAACGGTAACCTATATAACTATGGAACGGTAACCTTTATAACTATGGACCAGCGCACGGTAACCTATAAAACTAACGACCAGCGCACGGTAACCTATATAACTATCGAACAACGGTAACCTATATAACTATGGACCAACGGTAACATATATAACTATGGACCAACGGTAACCTATATAACTATGGAACGGTAACCTTTATAACTATGGACCAGCGCACGGTAACCTATATAAATCTGGACCAATGATAACCTATATAACTATGGACCATCAGTAACCTATATAACTATGGACCAGCGCACGGTAACCTATATAACTATGATACAACGGTAACCTATATAACTATGGACCAACGGTAACCTATATAATTATGGAACCACGGTAACCTATATAACTAACGACCAGCGCACGGTAACCTATATAACTATGGAACAACGGTAACCTATATAACTATGGACCAGCGCACGGTAACCTATATAACTAACGACCAGCGCACGGTAACCTATATAACTATGGAACAACGGTAACCTATATAACTATGGACCAGCGCACGGTAACCTATATAACTAACGACCAGCGCACGGTAACCTATATAACTATGGAACAACGGTAACCTATATAACTATGGACCAGCGCACGGTAACCTATATAACTAACGACCAGCGCACGGTAACCTATATAACTATGGATCAACGGTAACCTATATAACTATGGACCAGCGCACGGTAACCTATATAACTATGGACCAACGGTAACCTATATTATTATGGACCAGCGCATGGTAACCTATATAATTATGGACCAGCGCACGATAACCTATATAACTATGGACCAGTGCACGGTAACCTATATAACTATGGACCAGCGCACAGTAACCTATATAACTATGGACCAGCGCACGATAATCTATATAACTATGGACCAGCACAGGGTAACCTATATAACTATGGACCAGTGCACAGTAACCTATATAACTATGAACCAGCACACGGTAACCTATATAACTATGGACCAGCGCACGGTAACCTATATAACTATGGACCAGTGCACAGTAGCCTATATAACTATGAACCAGCCCACGGTAACCTATATAACTATGGCCCAACGATAACCTATATAAATATGGACCAGCGCACGGTAGCCTATCTAAATATGGACCAGCGCACCGTAACCTATATAATTATGGACCAGCGCACGGTTACCTATATAACTATGGACCAGCGCACAGTAACCTATATAACTATGGACCAGCACACAGTAACCTATATAACTATGGACCAGTGCACGGTAACCTATATAACTATGGACCAGCGCACGGTAACCTATATAATTATGGACCAGCGCACGGTAACCTATATAACTAACGACCAGCGCACGGTAACCTATATAACTATGGACCAGCGCACGGTAGCCTA